GTTAGAAAGTATGACAAAGAAAAACTAAGGGCTTTTTTTCATAAAAGAACGACGAAAAGCTCACATATAGAACATTGGTAAAATCCAACTAGTGGTCTATCATCAATGCTGCGTTCTGATTGGTTGAGCTACTACTAGGCTATATGTTATAGCCCACTAGTAGCGAAAAGTGCCGGCTTTTTGGCGGCAAAAAAGGATTTAAGTCTAGCTTTATCTAGCTTAAGTTGTTTTGTATCGATATTTTTTGACCAACTAGTTGGATTTTACTAAAACAATTATTCCTCTCGCCCTATTGACTCTGAGCCCATTTGGGCTCGATTATCTCAGACACACTTCTGAGCGGCTACGTTACTGATCAAAGAAGAAGTAAAAAATAATCACTTAAGTCGTCCGTTTACTTGAGACAATAAGTCATGGATGATGTCATGAAAGTTAGAAAACAAACTTACTAATGATGATCATTTCCAAGTCTAATAGCGATGTTCTCGTAATCCTCCCGGTTTCTCGCCACCAGCTCTGGACAACCAAGAGCGGTGAGCTGCGACGAAGCCACACGTGACGCTAACGTCTCGAGCGGAAGCGTTACCATGGGACTACCAGCCCACAAAACATCCATGCCTGTTGTGTGACCATTGCACAGGGGCGTGTCGAGGCAAACATCAGCCAGCTGGCCACGGCGAACATGTTCTTCTTTTGGTGCTACAGGAGAGAACACGATACGCTCCTGTGACAATCCCATTGCCATGGCCTGAGCTTTGAGGTTTGGTTCACCGACAGCTGGAAACCTGAGCAACCATAGTACAGAGTTGGGCACGTTCTTCAGGATGTTCACCCAGCTTCGCAGTGTTGGTGGGTCGATCTTATACAGCTGATTAAAATTACAATAGACGACAGCATCTTCGGGCAATCCATAATGAGAGCGAGTAATAATGGGCACTGCCGACGGAATCCTCTCGCCACTGTCTTTGCATCCATTGTACTCTTTCTTCTTCTCTTCAATCAGTGCACCCACCTTGGGAGCCAGCGAGGGGTCATTCTTCTCTTTGTCGAGCAGGACAGCAGCAGTGTGAGCAGGAACTGTACCATTCTGTGTCACCTCCACAATAACCTGATTGTTAGCTGCTCTCAGATATTGAATGAGGTGTGGAAACATCTGCTTGTGATCACCTACGAAGAAAGTGTGTGGCATGTAAGCTAGCTTCTCTGAGTACTGATCAGCTAGTTCAAGAGGCGAAGTAACTTTGTCTGTGATAATGTAGTCCATGTATGGAGCACCGCTTGTCCCAGGATAACCAAGCCACATCACCTGCAGACAGACAAAGTACACCGGCATCAGAAACCTTCTCATTACCTTGTAGAGATTGTTTCTAATGAGCACATTTATGGGTACAGAGAAGTGCCACTTGTGTATTACTCACAATACACCTAATTTCTATCCCAAAAATTAGAATAATCAATACAATTTACAGAAACTACAATCACCTGTACTGGTGCAGGACGCAAAGCAAAGATTTCATTTCTTGCTCCTTTAGTGTAGCCATTCATGTTTACCAAGACATGTATGCCATCAGCATTGATGCGATCTGCAGCTTCTCCGTGGCAAGGAATGGAGGACAGGTCTACGAAGTGTTCTGCATCTCCCTCAATCTTCTTCCTAAAACTGGTTTGATCATCAGCTGTAAGAGCATAGCAGAAGATCTAAAGAAATGACAAGAAACTAAATTAATAAAGAAAATGAGAATATGTGAGGTTTAAACAACGTCCACCATTCAAGACTAGTGGTATTTATTTTAATTACTAAAAAGCTATGGAGCCAGCAATTATTTTATCCTGCACAACAACCGAGAAAAGATAAGACCATCAGCATTGTAAGCAGGCAAAACAAAGACATATTGTAAGATAAACAATAAACAATGCTTTCATTTTAAACCACGATGAACAACATCTTTTACTTTGTGAATGGTTTAAGCCCTAAGAAGTCTTCATACGATCAGTGTAAGCGGGTCACCAGGAGTGTGACGTCCTATTGCAACTGTAGTCCTGACTGTTGTTTACGTTACGTGGTTGCCTTTGCGAGAGGATTGCAGTGGGAGTGTTTCAAGCAGCTAAGTATGAAGGGGTTAGATTTTGCAGAAAAGGTTGGAGATATGCCTAGGTTTAAAGGTAGCTTCAAAATTTGCGACAAAATAGAAAAATCACAAAATTCGCTCAAATTAGAAAATTTGCTGAATCTGTGTAAAACAGTGTTAGAGGAGTTGGAGGGCCCACACTAAATCGGCGATTTTTCATCGGAAAGATCGCAAAATTTCATTTATGTGACATAGAACTACGAAAAAACGCAGGTAACAGGAAAAATCGTTGGGCTTGCGATTTTTTGCAATTTTTCGCAAGTTTTGCAGCTGCATGAAAACCTGGCAATAGCGTTCAAGCAAAATGCTCATTAAATTTTACAACATTGTGTCATTCAAAACAAATCCTTGAGCAGCGTATACTAAGAATCCTAACAGTAAATGACTACAAACCTCAACTCTACTAGTGTCATGAAATCCTGGAATACTCTGCATAAGATGTGAAGTTGGGTGATTACCAAAGTCACTAGAAACATAACCGATCCTTAACCTTCCGCCACTTTCCTTCAAGGATGTAGGATACGAGTATGGAGGCTTGTGTAAAAGAGCAACCTTTTGAAAGAAGAAAAATAAAACATTCATGGTTAGGTGGGTGTAAGAAAATGACACTGAAAAAAAAATTACGAGAGAAAGATTTCATTTTCTTTAGTTTTATATTTAAGAGCTTATGGGAGAAATAAACACAGCTTTTCATAAACAATGTTTCAGTGCTTCTTACACAGTGTGTAAAGAAAGCAGTGTCCGATCGCATGGAGCTAGTGGATTTGGCTGTCAGGCGAGTGAATTTTGTTCTTAGCTTGCCTGATGGGCAAGTGAGGTTTTTTGTTCATCCTAGAGCAACAATGGATGCCAAAAGTCTTGGAACACTTAACACAATACGACTTTAACTGACTTCCCCCCTACCACACACACATACCACCCTCGCCCCAAGCAATGTTGCATATTGCACTTTGGAACGAGACAGGAGAGCCATAACAGGCATCCAAACGATTGTAAAAGTGAATTTATTTGCATATCTGATATGTTACCACTGTTGAAGGAAGGTTTTCGATAGTTGCCCAAGGATTTTGAGACTCCATTGTAGGATGGAGCTGAGGTCAACAGGGCACAAATAGCGAAGGAACAAAAATAGTAATAAAATATATTTTAATTTACCTTTTCAACGCAAAGATTACCATGTCTGTTGGCAATATCTCTTCTCATCTTGTGTGTAAGTGGATATAGCATGCTGTGATGGGGATGCACAGATGGTAGTCTGTTATTTTCCAACTGATCAGCAACAATGGACACTAATTTCTTCATGCGAGATTCGTAGTCTGTCCAGTCACAGATGATCTGAAAGTAAGCAAAAGATGAAAACAGACTTGATAGTAATAATTATTTCCTCGCATAAAGGAATAGAGAATGTTAATTAGACATTATTTACTGCTGGTATTTGATAAGGGTTATGACATAGGAAAACAAAACCACTTGTCATGGTTTTCTTTAATCCAAAAATATTTATGACACCGATTTCAGCCTCCCAACCAAAACCCCTAAAAAAGAAAGCACAATACCAGAAGACAAAGATTACCTGTAAACAATGTGCAAGATTGCAGTATGCATCAGGAAAGTTTGGCTTCAGTTTCAGTGCTGTTCTGTAAGATTGGATTGCTTCAGGAATGTTCCCAGAGTCCTAGAAAAATAATAATATTACATGTATGGGACAGATATAGAGAGTAACCACTATCCTGGTCAAAGAACTACCTGGAACCTGTAAAATATCTCCTTTAAAACTTTAGAAGAACACATCAAAAAAAATACAAAAATGCCAAGATAGGGTATGGATGGGCAAAATTGGGGATGATCAAACCACATTTTAGCAGACGTGAGAAACTTCAGTCTTGTATCATCAATTTTATATCTTTTGTTGTATTAGATGTGTAACATTTCGTAGGGAATCAATTCGATTTTCATATGGATTTTTGGGCTTTGCCTAACTTATTCAAAGACACAGCCATTCACTTTAATATACTGTGGCTCGATCACCCCACACCTGTGTACATTAACCAATGTAATGGACTGTAGAGTCAGATAGTCTCATACATACCTTGTGTACTGAAGCCAAGTTACTATGGGCATCAGCAAAAGCTGGGTTTATTTGTATAGCTCTCGTGTAACACTGAATCGCTCCTTGAATGTCTTGCATCTCTTTAAGTGTATTTCCCATATTGGAATAGGCATCAGCAAATGTAGGATGAATTCTATAAAATAATATCAACAACCATTAAAGTCAAGGACCGATACTCTAAAACAATGACATCAAGATATATAAAGCAAGGTCATGTGGTCAGTATCCAGAGGCCTGTGTTCAAGTCTGGTCTAACACTGGGAACAGCCAGCTGCCATCACAGCTCAAATTTTACTGCAAAACAAATGACATTTGCTACTTTTGCACTGCCCACAAAACACCCTATTTGCCCTTCTCCTCCTTCCCTCTTCCCACCCATGAAAACATATTATATATGTATCTTAACAGTACTACAGTTCCTCAAGAGAATTAGTTGAAAACAATGACGAAATAATTTTATTTTTTTGGCACGGGAAGTGCGTAAAGGCTAACTGCCTACATTGTACTTAGCTGTAACTGCCTTAGCTACAGTCCTACTGAAAACCAGTCAGAATTTTATTGTTTCTAGGCAGTCCCAATCTCTCTAAAGCCAAGGCTGTGCTTTAGCAGCACCTAGTGGCCCCTAGCACCTAACTTACACTGGTGAACAGAAAATCTTAGCTTTTTTTGTGAACATCATAATTATACTGGGCACCAGGATTTCACAGGTTCAGAGCACTGGCCTCCCTTAAATTATTTTTCTTAGAGCACAGCCTTGCCCAATGTTACAAGCCAGCAACTTTACCAGGCTCTACAGTTGAGATTTTAAATCGAATGTTTTGTGTACTTGCTCTTCCACAGTAGCCTTGTGAGAAAATAAAAAGATGTTACAAATGAATCACCTGATAGCCTCTTTGTAATGAAGGAGGGCTTCATGAAGTTTGCCTTGTTGCTGAAGAACACTGGCAAGGTTTGAATGAGCAGCTGCAAATTCAGGAAATATCTGAGGCAAAAGGAGGAGACAATAAAATTAGCACCAACTCAGGAAATTACATGGGGAGAGGAGAAGGCTTAACGTGCAGTGCTTCAGCCTCAAGATGAAGAAGCCTTGTTTCCAACCCTGTCATAGCCATAAAACAGCTAACAAGTCCCAATGCTGCCATTGGCTTCCCCGTGTAATGATGTCTGAAGAATGAGCACAGATGTTCCATACCCGCAATGTATCACTGCACAGATCTGGGCACTGCATCTGATTGTTTGAGACAGTTGGTCATGCCACGAGGGAAAATAGACAATCACAAGCACAAATACCCAGATCTGAGTAGTGACATAACATCAGTTTGGAATTTCTGCCCTTCTCAGATGTCAATTCAAGGGGAAACCAGAGGTAGCATCATGAAATGTCATTTTCTCACCCTGTCAGGGTGATTGTGTTGAGTTCTTGAGTAAGACACTTTACTCTCAAAGTGCCTCACTCCATGGAAGTGAATACTGCCATGGACTGGCATCCCATCAAGGGGAGAACAAAAATTCCATTTCATGTTATGAAAATCAGGTCAAGCTTCAGCATGCAGACTTTTACCTATACCACTAACAAGAAACAAATTAATGTAGGTAATAATAATAATAATACAGCTGACTGTACGTACCTCTAAGGCTTTACAGTAGAGCCTGACAGATTCTTCAATCTTTCCTTGCTCTCTTTTGATGTTTGCAAGGTTATTGAGGGAATCTGCATGGGTGGGTGATAATCTCAAGGCAGTGTTGTAGCACTCCTCTGCTTCAGATACCTAACAATATAAATTGTCGCCACGGGGGTTTAAATTAATGAAAATATACATGAATATTATTTTGCAAAGTAAGTCTTCACAATTAACGATATTTTGTGATCACCTTGTTTGAAGTTGAAAAAATTATAGTCACAGTAGTTACATTGCAACACCTGACCACCCACCCAGTTCTTAAAATGTAATTTAGAACATTGACAATAACAAATTAAAGTAGTTTCTTTGCAAAAAAAAATTGACAACACTCACTTGAATGATTCAATAAGCCAAACCTGCATCTTTACAACATGATCTCAAAGCTCAATTTTCGCTTAAGCACAGGATTTCTGTGACACATGTAGGTCTCACATCTAAATAATGTAGAGTTAGGCTTGTTTTTCTAAACTGAAACTACCTCCATTACATCTTGCAAATTGCAGGTTTGACAAGCTACAAACAATCAACTAGAGCATCCTAACACATTCTAATTACAGGTATTATTGCTGACTTGCAAACAACTCTTAAATGAAAATATACAAAGCAACAAAAACAAAATGCATCTTTGATCATAGAGCTCTCTCTTGTTAGATACTAACTTTGCTTTGTTCCTTTAGAGCATTTGCCAAATTACAATAGGCATCAGGGAAGTTTGGTTGGAGTTCAATAGCCCGTCTGTATGTGTCCACCGCCAAGTCAATGAGTCTGAAAAAGAGAATGAAATAACTCAAGAGTTGAAAATAACCCTTTCTTGATAACAAACCTAACTATTAAAACCTATTTACAATTAATTTCACCGAAGAAAAAAAAAACTATTCGGTCAAAGCACTATTTACAAATCATCTCATTTAATCCTGTTATGTTATATTTGAATTATTTGTTTCTAAGTATTTGAGTGGAGTGCCTGTAAACTAGCTGGATAAGCTAAGTGCATTTTCCACTGACTATAAACAAACCTTCAACTGACACCTAATCAACACATCTGTAAGACTGGGATGAAAACAAATGGAATTGGTTAACTCACCCTTGTTCATAATAAACACAAGCTAAGTTTCCATGGACAACTGCATGGTTGGGACTCAGGTTCAATGCTCGTAGATATGCAGCAACAGCTCTGAAGAATAAACAACGGAAACAGCTTTGAGAATCCAAACAGGATGTTTCAACTGAAATTTGCGTTTCATTTCATCAAAGCCATCTTTGATACCAGGATCAGGCTTTACTGCTGTTTTTTTTGGTAAACTGAGCTAATCTGAACAAATGGTAAACATGATTCTGGGGCAAAATTTACCTGTTCTTAATTCTGTTTACCATTTGCCTCAAACAATGAGCCGACCAGTCTACTCATGTAAAAGGTAAACAATCTCTGTAAAATTTGATAATGGCTAAACTAAACTTTTTTTCTCTTTTTTGCACATACAAAAATTCCCCCTAAATAAACAAATCATGCTTGCAACTCCAAAGAAAATCATTTTTCTCTTCTGGGAAAAATAAGTCCACTATTTGGTTTTGCACATCTGTGTATACAAAGAGAACAAACTGACCAGACCACTGTTCACGAGGGTTCAGGTGACAATGGGTTAAGGCACAAGCAGGAGTTTCAATAAGCACCAACGACCAACTCAACATGTTGCGTCCTTTGAAGTCGGCTTTTTTTGTCCGAAAGAAGAAACAAGTAGTTTTTATAATGTGGTACAAAAAAAGTATATAGTCATAATATCTGAGTGAAACATAATTACAATGTGTTTTCATAAAGATCCACTTGTTTTATATTACGCTTTACATGTAGTCCACAATTTTTGACACTTTCTCATAAGTTTACAAAGAATTTGTTTATGTGCAAATGTATGTAATTTATTACATTATTGAAAAACTTAAAAGAAAGCAACAGTTTCCTTAGTGCATGCATCAGTACTTAATTTAGTCCCCAGAACGTTGGAAATCTTATTGTAGGGCTTTGAAATTTCAAAAGTTTCTGTACGAGCATGTCCCCAGACCTGGGACTAACGGTCCCTTGTTCATACAGTTGATTACTCTTTTCAAACCTGCTGGCTACTTCAATTTTTATTGAAACCCCTGTACAAGATTAAATTGCTAACCTGTCAAAAATTCTTGCTTCTTTCAACACATTTCCTAGGTTGATGTAAGCATCAAGAAAGTTCTGATCCAACTGGACAGCCTACATGAAAAGAAGAGAAGGAACAGAGTTATTGCAGCTTGAAGGATGGAAACAGCTTGAAGGAGGAGGCAGCATGGCTGAGTGGTAAGAGCGTCAAACTCGCAATCTGGCGGTCCCAGGTCCGAGCACTGCTTTAACTGCTAGCTGGATTTGTTCTTGGTCGACCCGAGTTCAAATCCTTGGCCACACTTGTAAATAGCCAACTGGTTGCCTCCTGCCAGTTAGGGTCTTTAATCCTGTTATGTTGTATTTAATTATTTGCTTCTAAGTATTTGAGTGGAGTGCCTGTAAACTGCCTGGAAAAGCTAAGAGTACTTTCCACTATAAACAAACCTTTAAACCTTTTTTTTTTCACAACCCTTAAAACTAATGTTCAGATTTCCTTCTACCTATAAAACTTCACATTTATGAAAGGCTCCGTACAGAACTTTATTTCAACTTTCGTGTAGTTTTTCAACATAATCGAATATTGAGAAGCATCCCATTGATGGTGCAATGATTTACCTAGGGTTCCACCCTGTTCCTTTGTTTTGTTAAGTAGCAAGGTTTAATTAATTAGGTTATCTGAAGTTGTGTGAGTGTGGGACTTGGAGGTTGCAATGTTTATGTCCCACAGTGTGATAAAAATGGAACTCAGGTTGAAGCCTTGTAACGATTAGCCATTTTCTTTTGTCTCCTAGATCAAATATTATTCAATGATTTTTTAAAGCAGCCTTGAGACAAAGGAAATTGAGAATCCACCAAAGTTAAAAAACTTAAACCTACATTTAAGTTGGATCTATTGTTTCTGCAGGCAAATTAAACTATGGCAAACTTAGTTTCATATCTTTTTCGGTTTTTACATGATGGCTTAGAAACTTTGAGAAGACCTACAGCAACATGTATTATTTGCCAATACCCCCAAATAATCTCATTTCTGAAAAATATTTCTTGTCAGAAATTAGCTTTTATACGTACAGTAGTTTACGGAAAAAAATCACGTCTAGTGAAAAAATTTTGCTGACATTTCTGTTATCAGCTTTTATTGATATAATATGTGTAACAAATAAATTCTCAGAGATATAGTGTTTAAGCAGAAGCCTGTACCCACAGAGTAGAAAGTCCTACAATTACAATTATTGTTTTGGAATCTTGACAACAAATAAATCTGACGCAGCCAATTTTCAGGACAGGTATTTCCAATGCCAGCTAATTCCGAAACTAATCTGATTGCCAATCTTGCCATTCTTGACAAGTGCTCTTTAGTCTTGTAAACAGTATAGATTCCTCTAAAACTTGCTCTGAAGTTGAAATATGTACTATCAGCATTTCTGAAATATCCTTTGGTAGTTTTGGTTCTATCTCCAGTTGCATATTTTTCAATGTACTGCAATACATCCGCATCATTTTCAGTGCTGTGTGTTACCTCCAATGCAAGGAACAAGACTGTTAGCAATTGAGATCGTAAGATACTGTGTATCAGAGCTTAGATAGAACTGTTGAGTATGTGCTGCAGTCCTTAGAATTCCCACCTAACCAGAGGAGGGCAAACAACAATGCTTAAGGCCAACAACCTGTACCTATCATAGATAAAATTGTATGGTAAGACCAAAGCACAACTTTTCACTTCTTCTTCAGAGCTTGGGTCTTGAACATCTTTATGACATGGAAATTCAAATTATTTCATATTATTGCCGAATGATATACAACTGTACATGTGTGTAGTTCTTCTTAAAGTTTTGCCACAATGTCATGAAAACTGGAAAGCTTATGAAATATAGTTTGTCATAGTTAAATGCACCCGAAATAAAAATTAAACATCTTAATTCTGAACTACAACATATATTAACACAATAGCTAACCTTCTCAAAGTGATGAATGGCCAACCAAATCTCTCCTTGGGCATTGAAGACACAGCCAAGATTACTCCATGCAACAGCAAAGCTGGGCTGTGTTTCTATTGCTTTCAAGTAGCACGCCTTTCAATTTAAAAATGACAGCAAAACGGGGACAGCAAAAGAGGCCGGGACAGCAAACAATGAAAGAGCAGGGAAGCAGCAAAAGGAAGAGCAGAGAGCAAGAAAAATCAAAGCACAAACACAGAAAAAATACACAGACGGCGACAGCAGAGAGCAAAAAGAGAAGATCATGGTTTTGTTCTCATCCTTTGTAACAACGCAATACTATTCCGACATTTTCCTCCTCTAGTTCAACCTTGTTTTTTCCTGTCTTGGCTGAAATGCAATATCTATTAGTTCTCAAAACACCTTGTCCCTTTGAAGAAAGCAAACAGTAGCCACTGTGAGGGAAACCAAGATTATCTTGCCTCAACACAAAAGAGATCAAAGAAGTAGCAGAGTTACATAGCTGTGTTTCAAAATGGTTTTGTTTTTTTTCCTCTGTTTGGTTACGAAAGACGATGAATTATCTTTGTTACTGCAAAACTGGTAGTGCTGCCTCAGTGATAACTCTAACCGGGTGTTGAGTACAACTGAGAAAATTCTACACATCTATGTCAACATTTAATTTGCTTGTCCTTTAATCTCCCCCTCAAAAACAGATCCCAATCTGGCCAGTGACTGACATTGTTACTGCTAATCACTCAATTCAAATCATATTTGTCTTGAATGAAAACAGTAATCTCATATTTTCAGTTAACTGGCAATTGGAAACTATTTTAGAAAAGCACAAAGCTTAATAATGTGAGGAAACAAGACAAGTCTTAGATTCTCCACTCAAATATTTCAAGCTGCGTGACAACATATGTTAATCAATGTATTAATGTTCCACCTCTTATTGTATAATCATTTCCAAACAATCTCCAGGAAGTCACATGTTAGCAACATTATGATTGTGCTTTCTGTTTGTTTCACAGGGACAAGGTGTTGAATAGATAATACTGTTCTGTTTCTTTCCAAGGTATGAGATCAACCACATGACTAAGAGACAGGATGCAAGCAGCCAACTCAACTGGGAAGAGAATTGCCTCGTTCATAAAACTGCCTGGGTAAAAAGTGAAAACTGTAATGATTTATATCTCAAAAAAAATGAAGTCTTGTGAAACTACGTGTATGAAAACAAAAATGTTTTGCAAAATGAAACTTTAGCTATTTCTGTTCCCTTTTGAGTAGTCTGTAATAGCAAATTGGGCAAGCTTGGAAGACGGGGGAAAGCAAGTGTGGGGAGGACAAAAGACGTGCTTTGAGAAGTTCATCGTTCCACAATTGGTTCCCCTTCAGCCGGTGTACTCCATCAAGATAGCCGTACGTACCCTGTATAAGTTTACTGGGAGAAATAACAAAAGGGGAAAAAAAACAAGGGAAGATTGAATGTTAGAGATCTAAGCAACATTATTATGAGGTCGAACACCAGTATTCTGAAAGAAAAACCAATACAACTGTGCTTCTCGCCTGGTACTGAGAATAGCAAGAGCTTTTGCCTTCTTTGTATCATTGAGTTTTCAAAATTAATCATCTTTAGCTATAAAATGTTGGGAGATGCACAGATGTATTGGCCAAGAACATCCTGCCAAAAATCAATCAAGCAACAGTACAAATTTCAAACTAATAATGACAAATGTGAGAGCATCTCTACAACCTCTGCACTGTTTTGCGCACTCTAATAGGAAATAACGTGAAATCTCACCTACAACGTTGTCAACTGACACAAATTCATATCAGTGACAGGAATAAGCCACCACTTGTATAACCAAAAACAGGTTTGGTACACAATAAAAATAATCTTGTCTTGCAAGCACATTGCAAAAAAGTAACACAGAGTGGCAGAGATTCTCTCAAATCAGTATGTTTATGGGAATACAAAGCAATATTATTAACTTGTAAAAATGGAGCACACACAGCTGAAGACTGCACCCTTAGTGAATGCTTTCTATAAAAACAGCAACAGAAGTTCTCCTTACTGATCAAGACAAATTTACCTTTAACTTTGTACAGACACTTTCACTTCAAATGAGACATTCTCAGAAATTGTTTCATATAAATATTGATTCTTTTTGGAAGAAAATGCACCAGTATGGTAAGGAGAAATTTCTTAATCAAGTCTCTCACTGGAAATGAAGAGGTGACACCCATGCATCCTAAACAACCAACCACAAAAGGAAAACAACACTATTTGGAAATATTGAAGACAAAATTATATGCTCTTGGCAGAGAGATTGATAGTGTTAATGAAATCACTCTTACTTCACTCTTTTTGACAGTTTTACCTCCTCATGGATCAGCAGGGACAGGTTTAAAGGTGCCACCACACTCAACAAAAATCAGCCAATCTGAGGCAAGTAAATCTCACAAACAAAATGATGAAAAGCTTTAGGTAATTTGCTCTTAAGACAAGTTTTCTCTGCAAGCCTGGCTGACAATAAGTATGAAATGCAGTCAGAAACTTAAGTTCACGGCAACTGATATTTTTTTATAAGTGAGAGACTAGATTGCTCTGAAAACACGCACAAGGGGACATTCACAATCAAGTTCGCATGGACCAACCAACGAAGTTCAAGTTGTTGCTATGTCCTGTGCCTTGAAGTTAAATGTCACACCAGGTTTTCAGAAAACTACCACAATACCTTGGCCTCTTCAAGTCTTCCAAGAGCTTTCAACAAGTTGCCAAGATCACTTCTTACACAGTACAGATCCTACAACATGAAACAAAATTATCATCACTTTTGACTGATCATCAAGTCTATCCATCTTTCCCAGCTACAACTAATCCAGGGGGTAGGGGAGGGGAATCAGACGATTATTACTTACAACATGAAATGTTTGTGACATGTTATGTAATTGGGCAATTTTTAACAATCTGCACTTGGCAAGACTTAAATTATGCAATTTTGCCTACATTTAGAAACATATCACTCAAATTTAGTCATTTCAGGAACTGAAACTTGAGGAATTTATTTACAGTGTCCATTTGTTTATGCATCTGTATTTTTTTTCCATTTCACATACATTTAACTCAGTAGACTGATTTTAACAGATTAGATTTTACCAGATTACACTATTGAAGTGTACAGTATGTGCAATGACACTGCAACGAAAGGTTTCCATTTCCAAATCAAGAGCCATATGGGTGGACAGAGAACTATCATATATGACTATACTGTACATGCATTTCTTGAGACTTTGCCTCATTACTATCATATGTAGAGTTCGAACAAATGTTCTTGATAACTGCGATCTTAATAAATACACAAACCAGCTTATGAGACTTTTAAGCATTTATATGTTATTAAGATATTATGTTAGAGGAACAAGAATTTAAAATGGACAAACCATTTGGCTTTTCAGTTGGAAATTTCTCGATTGTATTAAAGTAGTACAATATTCTTTTTTCACTGCGATATTGTTAGAGACAAAATAATGCTTTCCATAAGCTTATTAAAATTTGGCACAGCCGGCTGATGAATCAATATCAAGGTCATAATAATACTGGCCAGCTAAACAACTTCAATAAAGAGGAGAAAACTCTAGCAGCCATCCAAAGCATTGACAAGACGTCAAATCAAGCTGCTAGTCAAACTGCCGCTGGTCAATTAGTTTTCTTGTCATAACTAAAGAAAACTCGCGATAAAAACACGAACAACCTGAATTCATTCCATTCATCCACTTGTCAATCACAAGTCGTTCTTCACTGCACACGACTCATGAATGAAATCTCAGAAATCTAAAGAGAATGGAATCATCTCTAAAGAAAACAGAGGCACTAACGAAACACATGTACCAGGGCGAAATCTTCCTCTTTTCGCCTATGAAATGACAACAGCATAAATTTGTTTTCGTGTTCATCCACTCCAACAGGTCGACTCGAAGCGATTACCACATTTTCCAAGATCATGGACAATTGGGACATTATATTGTTCACTACTTGCGTAGTGATGAAATAAAACAAATGGTAAAAGTTACATTCCTCCTGACAGATTTGTAACAAAAACTTTCATGATATTTCACAACATTGGGTCATGAAAAAGTACACATACACTGCAAATTTTCTCACCGGGTTATATTGCAAGGCCGTGGCATAAGCATTTACTGCTCCTTCTAAATCACCAGCTGCTACAAGAGCAGCGGCCAAATTGATGTAGCCATCGATGAAATCAGGTTTTAGCTTAACGGCGTGGCGGTAGTTGTCCAAAGCTTCCTTCAGCTGACCTCTCTCTTTGAAGACGTTGCCTAAGTTAGAGTACGCCTCTGCGAGAACAGGGTTTTGTTTAATGGCCAAAGTGCTGAAATGCGCCGATCTGAGACAAGGACAGCACAGAAATACGAAACAGTTAATTAATTTTTCTTTCTAGGTGCGTTCTTGTCAAAACACGTCATTTAAAATCAAGGGAAACGTTTTACTGGTAGGATTTGTTTGGGAGTCCAAACACCAAAACAACGGTTCAGCTTACCTATCTAAACGTCGGCATTGAAAGTGAATCGATGACAGAAGCAGCAAAACCCCAGTATTTTCAGGCTGCTGTCTCCATAACTGCATACAGATTTGTTCGGCACGATCGTAGCTTCCTGCTTGATACTCTCGATGAGCTAACTCGGCGAGAGTAGCTGTTGAGAAAGAACATGGGTTTAAGTTTAAAAATTGCACGTTTATATGAGCTCAGCTCACAAAACCAACTCTCAGAAAGGTAGCCCTGACCAGCATCGTCGAGAATCGACGTTCCCATGACCATGGCTAAGTAAAGAGAAGTAGAGAAACTCAAAAGTTTCCCCTTCAAGCTTGAAAAAAGAAAACGAGGGCATGAAGAAAGATGGCGTGTATTATTGTATGCATAAACGCGACGTCATGTGCGCACACGCAAAGAAAACACTCACCTCCATAATGAAGCGTTTCTGGTTGAAATTTCATAATTTCTCGCCGAAAAAACCCCCAAAAGAATGCTTTTTCTACTGATCTCGCAAGAGCACTAAACTATCGAACAACCACATTGAGGAATTTCACAAATGACCAGTCCTTGACAGGAACAAGCCTAACAAATGCCGTGATCAATATCAAAATTCCTATTAGCCACAATACTCCGTTGCGAATTGACTTGGTGACGTAATTTTACTTAACAACCCACGTGGTTGGCAGTTCCCTTTGAGAAGAGAAAATCCATCTCTATCAAAAAGGTAGTCCCATGTTATCAGTAACATTAGACCACGTGTTAAAGTTATCAAAGCGTTTTTATAGTCATATAGTCATAGTCATTGTTAAAGGTATCAAAAAGCTGTATTTTTTGTTAGTTTCTAAAATTTTACAGGAGAAAAAGTACAAAGAAATTTCAACAAAACGAGAAGTTCTCTCAACTGCTTTGACAATCGTCACTCGCAGTCCCGCCTTCGTCTGGGTCCTTTTATAAGAAATGCGATCATTTTTCAGCAATATGCAGTATTATTTCAAAGATAAACTATGTATCTTGTTATTCCTTGTCTTTGAAATAAGACATAGTTGCCGTAAAGCAAAAACAAAGAGCCTTTTAGCGAGCACGCTCGAATTTCCGTGATTGAATGGCAAACATCTTCTTGTCTCAGCTGACATCTGGCCTTTTGACAACGTTGCAATCACGTGTCGTAGAATGATTGGCAGGTTCATTGAATTTAAAGAGCTGAGCTACGCTTCCAACAGGCAGCGCTTTGGACAAAGTGCGTGGAGGTCATTGTTTGTGCAGTAGAGAGTCGCTCATTCGCTTCAAGGTAACCGCGTTATAACCTCGCTCTTTGTCGCTGGCAACAGGAATCTTTGTGACTTTTTAGAAGTAGTTCTGAGATACATTTACCATTTTGTTCCTCAGCTCGATTCAACAATGGCGGACAAGCCAAATCTCGATGAGGTAACCAAATTCGACAAGACAAAATTGAAGCATGCAGAAACACAGGAGAAAAACACGCTTCCAACGAAAGAAAGTGAGTCACTGTCTGAGGTTTTCGGATAAAAACTTGTGTCTTGTTTACCTAAGAACACTGCACATTTTAAATACCACTTGTTATTTGACTTTAGAGGGGTGTGTCGAGCAATGATGCGTGTAGATTCGAAACCTAAACATCAAGAATTTCAAATTCCATTGGATTGATATTATAAATTCCCTTTCGCGAGTTTCTCAGCGCGACTCCTGCACAATCGTTCCAGCATATGTAAAATATTATTTTCTTTTTTAACTTCAAAGATGCTTCTTGTGTTCTGACACACCCTATTCGTATCTTCTCTTCTCTTCCTTCCAGCGATTGACCAAGAGAAGACGGGATGAAAATTATTATTTGGATTAAACCCAAGCAAGCGTTTGCAGCTCCAATTTTGTTGAACAATTTTCTGTGTCCTACATTTGTGTTTGCCTCTACCTAGACTAAGGTTTGTGTTTAGAGAAGGGATAGTCGTAAAGAAATGCCTGTTGAATTTTCTCCGCGTGTTCGAAAGTTCAGTGACATTTTCTTTCGCTTTCTGGTTTGTAGAATGATGTCAACGAGGCTATTCGAAAATTATATCGCTGTAAACACTTTCATTTGGGTCTAGACAAACATGTAATGTTGTAGTGAAATATTTTTGCACAATTTAAAAATAAACAGTTGAATATTGAAGCTTAAAATGTGGTGGTTTCTCCGCGTGTTATTCAGTTAATAACTTAGCGGCACTGGCTTTTCGAAAGGCTTAGTTTTTATTATTTCACCTATCGGTTGTTGTACAGTATTCTTATTCAAAATCGTCGGATTATCTTTATTGTCTTCACGAATGATTAGCATCATTTTTGCTCATTTGTACAAAACGTTGTCTCGAAGCCAGACTTGTCAGAAACCCCTTGAGAGTTAATTTGTCTGAGAAATGATCCAATGTTTGTTCACTGAAGTGTACTGGGAAATAAAATAATTTTGGTTTCAGGTCTTTACAATATTCATAAAATGTGTTCAGGCGTAACCTCTCTGAAAGGAAATATTTATGGTGGTGTGATCAAAAGAATACATACTTGTGGCTAAATAAGGGTGTCGAGTTACCTTTCCGTACAGTCCAGAAATGGAGAAAGGAAATGGCATAGAAATTATAGACAATTATTTAGCTTGCACTGGTGATAAACCTGTGATATGAAGCACGCTGCAGCACGTTTAATTTTGGCGCACACGTCGATCATTGGCGAGTACAATGCAGCAACCGGCCCCAAGAGAGACGTAAAACTTCTCTGAGAACTAGAGAGAGCATTCTTTGGTCATCAACATTTTTTTTGTTTTTCGTGTGCTAGAATGCAAAATTTGCATACTGTTTGCTTCTGGTACTCAGCCCGGCCATGTCTTTGTTATTGGAATACTTAGAATTTAACTGCCAGTTTATACCTGTCAGTGATGAAAAGAGGGAGATAAAAGCATTCACTTTCACTGGTATTCACTGAAATTTGACAGCTAGGAAGGAATGTTATTTCCTTGTGTAAAAAAATGTTGGGAGTTGCTGTTGCAAAATAAAAACAACAGCACTTAGAAACAAGCAGTATTTTCTTTATGTGAGGGACTTTCTCAATTCATTGTCTTGAACCATACATCCTCCTGAGACTTTTACAATAACTGGATTAATCTTTTGGGTTCTGCTGATTTTCCAGCTGTTTTGCCATTGAACACAGTTCAAAAGACAACCACTTGCTGGCATTGTAGACTGATCCAATAATGCAGCCCTGTTGAACCCTAATGTTAGGTTTATTTGTCAAGCAGGCTAAGGATATGTTCCCTCTATACAGGATAGGTGAACACCTATCCAATATGTGACTATCAACTTTGGAGATCAGCGTGGCGCAGCATCACTCCGTCACTCTGTTACAGAGATCACACCAAAATCACTGTTCTTATGTGTAAAGAGAACCCTATCTGGTGTGGTTTTCATGTAAGCCCAAAAACTATCTGGTTTTGTGTGAATGTACCCTTAAAAACCACAATTCAATAATTCAGCTTGGTAACTGAGTGCTACCTTAACTGGTTGAATGCAGACATTTTGTCTTGTCAATACAAAGAACCAGAGAGCAAATTCCTGACCCGGCTCTGATGAGGAGTTAGGATTAGTATTGATTTCAGATTTACAATCTGTTTATTAAGATGGTAAAGTTACTGTATCAACTCACTTTAAGAAATTAACTTTCAAATAATACAGTAATTCAGCATTTTCTTCCGTTCAGGGAATTTAGAGAAAATGAAGAATCAGTATGGCTCACTCTGAGCCAAGCTGTTATTTCTTGAATGTGTTAGGTACCTTTATCAACCCAAGGCAGAGACATCGGTGTGTTTTGACTCTAATGAAAGGCTGGTTTCCGTGGCATTCTATGAGGAAATGAGTTTGGTTTCCTTAAGGAAGTGGTACCAAAATAGAAAACTGTGGTTGACCTATTTTGCTGAATGACCAAAGGGCAGAACTGCAAATTCATTATTTTGTATTTCTAGTAAATTATTATTTGTTGTAAGTGTGTGCATTGCTGCAAGTGACTCAATATTCTACAAAGTAAACCTTGAAAGTGCAACTTTCAATGATAAAACGATTGTCTGTTGTTTTGTAGTGTTAGTTTGTGCATTGTCTTTCTTTTGTATAATGTAGTATGGTTGAAACTTCAGTCAAAGCTCTTCTTATGAACATTGGTACCAAAAGTTGCGAACTTCTTATAATCCTCACCGCAGACACCTTTATCCAGACACCCCTTTGGTGTCTGAGAGAAGGGGTTTTCACTGTTCTAAACTTTTGCAAACCTGTGGAGATATCATGAAATTGATGTCCCGAACACAAAGAAATTTCAAGTTAAATTAGAATATATTGTTGGAGAAAGAGTTGCGTAACCCTGTCATAATGATACCTAGAATAAAACAAAGATTTAATTCACAGGACAGGAAAGCCCGATCTATACACAACTGTATCACTTGATAGATTCCGCGATGGAATCGAAAGCTTGTGTATAAGTTTTTTTTCTTCCCTGCGAATTGAATCTTTGTTTTATTCTAAATCTAATATATTATCATTGTATCGTGCAACTCGGTATTTTAATTAATTTGTTATTTGAAATAAATGGACAGCAAATAATCACGATCATTTAGAAGTTTCAATACTTGTTAAGTATTATAAAATGCAGAAACTGTTTTACGTGTTTAGCGACATTCACTGTCTCTCCTAGAGAGATTTTCTTGATAACTTATTTTTGAGAAGTCAATTCCTTTTTTTTCTCAGGAGGAAAGGCTAAATATTATTTTCAACTAAACTCCTAAATACTGTTTGAAGTCTGTGCCGTGATGGAATTTATCAGTATTGTTCTATCCAGGAAGCGAGGACATTGAAAGAAATCCAATTTTCTGCTCTGAAACCCTATCAATTTTTACGTTGTCTATTTTTAACGGGCTGCTGTCACGCTCGCGCAGTCATCAATCAAGATCAACGGAACAGCTGGATGTTTGACAAGAACTCAAATACAGGATCGGGACCTTGCACATCAATATTATCGCGTTTTTCCGCCACACCTTGAAATAATGGAAACGCATGAATAATACATCCGTGCAATATAAGCATGATAAGCTCGTTCTTACGCCAAGGATGCGATGAAAGCGTGCTGGGGAATTTCCGCAGGATCGGCTTATAAAAACCCCTTTTAACCCTTTCGTAAACAACATGCGCACGATTGCGTCTTCCGTTTCGTTCTCTTGGAAAGAGTTTATACAGCAGATTCTTGAGTGGAGCTGAATTAACTTGACGTTCTTTCAATGGAATGACGTCTCCTTCAACTGTTTTAGTCATCGTTCAGTGCCTAGTGATACCATTCTTGAGATACTAAAACGTTGTAAGCTTTTAAAATACATTAGGGGTCTTTGTCGCCACTAGATTATGTGTTGACTTAAATACGTTAATTACCTTTATGAATAAAA